TAGGGTTGGTGGTCATCCTGTTAAGTGAAGTAAGCTCACTCAGAAAGACAGATGTTGCATGTTTGCTCTAATATGTAGAATCCAAAAAAAAAAATGACATGAAAGGAGAAGCAAGACTGTTATTAGACAAATGGAAGACAATAAGAAGAGGAGAAGTAAAGGAAGGTAATGGGAGTGGGAAAAGATAAATTGTATAGTTAAGAGATACGGATGTTATGAATTTGAGGTGAAAAGGTTTCCACACTGTGAAGTAGCATGTCACAAAACAGTACATATGGCATTGCCAATTTTACTTTAAAAGGTGTGTTTATGCATAGAGCTATCAAGAAATTGTCTAAAATGGTGTTCACTGAATTGTTTTAGTCTCTCTTGGAGAGGGATGATGAGCACATTTTTCTTTTTAAAATAGTTCTTTTGATTTTAGCTATTATAATATGTTTCTAAGTGGAAGAAATTAAGAATTACTGTAAGTATGTTAGGTGATAGATACGTTAATTAGCTTCATTATAGGAATCATTTTACAATGTATATGTATTTCAAAACATGATGTGGTACGCCTTAAATATGTATGATTTTATTTGTCAGTTATACTCAACAAAAAGTGAGTTTAAAAAAGAACCTTGGGAGTTAGGTTTATCTCATTCGTTTCTCTACAAGGGAAAACTGTGAAGAATGTTTTGGGATTTTTATCTAGCAATTTCACTGGCTTAATGAAGCCTAATACAGAAATATGCTTAACATTCCTATTTAGAAGGAAAGGTGTGCCTGTCAGATAGAGCCACAGGCTCCAAATAGCAGTGCTTGACAGAGCCATGACCCTGTGGCAAACCAAATTTAATTTTCTCTCCTCCCAGGGAATGTGACCAACAGGAATTGCTCTCTTTAATGTCACACAGACGGCTTTTACCTATGTATGACTAGAGCTGATCTATCTTTCAAAGGCCACGCTGGAAGAATGTTTTGTTTAGTGTGGTGCAGTTGTTAATTAGATAGTATCTACTGGTCCTCTCCCAACATGATAAAAATTTAACTACCTTTAGAACAGGAGGGAATTATTGGTGACCTTCCTTAGGACACATGAATCAAACCTGTGGATTTGCATCTAAACTATTTTAGGAAATAGTAAAACTTTCTTTTTCAGTCTGAGACAAGAAGTTAGAATTAAGATAGCAGTTCGAAATAGGTAATGTAAAATGTCATTGATGTGTCCCTGTGTCCTGCCTACTGTGACGTCAGCTGGTTATTTTGCCATCCTTATTGAAAAGACAAAACAGCAGTCAATTCATTTCTTCGTGTGGGCTTCTGAATTTGTCCTTTGCCGCTGTACTATTTGTGGGCCGGGGTGCACTGGGCAGGCGTCTGCAGCAGAGGTGAGTTGCCAGGCTCCCGTGGCTGGGCTGGTGGGAGCAGTAAGCAGAGAGGAGTTAATGTCCACCTTTTCGCCACTGTGCTCAGTGACAGAGGGAACGGAGGCACTGAGGAAGTTGAGGGCAAGTTGTATTTACCTTTCCACTGAGAACGTAATCCCCTTCCTCTTGTACCTCTCCTTGTGGGTGTAAGAGTGGCATGCTCCTGAGTGGGAATGCCAGGTTAATGCTCTGACCGCCTGCCCAGTGTCTGCACAGCCTCAGTCACAAGGACGATACACGTAGGCCAGCTTGAACATTTCCTCCTGAGGAGAAGGCAAGATCAGCTCTTAATTTGACCACTGGCAGCTCAGAAATTACTCTGGTTGTTCTTTTGTCTGTTTGGTTTTTGCCTCATCTAGGAGAGTAGGAACAAATTTCAGGTAGGGCAGGAAAGGGAAAAAAGAATGTTGTGTGCACTAGCTGCTGTGCCAGGTGTGCACTTCAGTGAACTGTCACTCCTGCGGCCAGCTGGTCAGATGGGCTCTAGGAGGGGATTCTCTGCCAGATGGTGACTCAGAGACCCGGGGGTGGTGATTCGGAGACTCTTCTCTCATGGGTTTGCTGGTGCCATTGTCTTGCTCCCAGATGGCACTGTGAGAGTGAGTGTGTGCGTACGTGTGTGTGTGTGTGTGTGTGTGCACTTGCACCTGCGTGTGTATTTATGGGCCACGCCTGCATTTCCTGGGTTCACATTCTGTTGGCTCAATCTCTTAGCAGCCATAGTCTCTGATACTGCTGGGTCAGTTCTGGTGGTAATACATTTTTATGTCTTGATTTATCTGTGCTAGTCATGAGAACCAGCAGTGCATTGTAGTGACTTGAGAGAGAGGAGGGAAGGAGAGGAGTAAAATAATCTTGGTCAGGCCATCTGCAATGTTAAAAATAACCCAAAGTGGAAGATTTCTTAGGGGGATGGAAGCTGCGGAGGGTTGAGATGCCACAGTCATGTGCCTATATGCTGGCTGCTCCTAGGTCCCCAAGGAGGGGAAGTGGGAGGGGAGGGACCTTCCCCGGGAGAGGGGCTGCAACACTGTGAGCTCTTCTGGAGCAGGGAGGTTTGGGAGATAAACTACCTAGGCAGATGCTGGAGAGGAACATGGGGAAAGAGACAGGGGAAGACTTAAGTGAGATTAGAATAGTGTTTGTGATTGTTGCAGTTGCTGAAGCCTGGGCAGTAAATGCCCAGGAGCAGGGCTTGGACTTCAAGTTTCTTTGTACCATAGGCTCTCTGTAAAATGGGTACAATGTTTGTCTGTTAGTTTCTAGTCAGAGTATGGGGGAAGTTTATAAGCTTTGTTAGTGGTGCTTCTAGGTTAAAGTAAGTAGTGAACAGCTTCATTATATACTTTGTACATATTTATGCCCTGACATCTCAGTATTCAGTTGAAAAATTATCAGTTGAAAGAATAGAATTTATGCACCTAGAGGTACTATACAGTTTCTCAAATCTTGAAATCCTGAGACACTGTTGCTCTCTCTTCTAGTTCTACATTGTGTATAGGTGTGTGTGTGTGTGCATGTGCGAGTGTGCGTGAGTGTATGCATGCTGCATATTAAATCCAGAGGCACATGCTCCACCACTGAGCTATACCTGTATCCTTTGATGCATGTCTTTGTCACAGTACTGCTGAAATCGTTTGCACAGACTGTCGTCAAAGGAATGCAGTACCTCTTCTGTGGAATCTGTGGCAGTGACTCACATTACCAGTGTGGACAACATCTGGCCTATGTTCAGTGTTACATGTGCCCCTCAAAAGTGGGAAATGTTTTGCAGTACCTCTTTGAGGTCACTGTATGATCTGGGTACCCCGAGGCATGGATGGGGGACTACGGGATTTGGTAGTTTTTCCTTCGTTCATTTCTTTAACAAGTGACTAGTTAATGAAGTTTGGGTGCTTTGTCAGTACTGAGGGAACATGGGGTCCGCCTCCCCAGGGTACAGGGTATGGAGGGGAAACTACACGTTGAGTGAGAATCAGCCACACAGAGGCTTCCCCTGTGGCCAGTGCCGTGAGGGAGAGTTCTGGGGTGTTGTGAGGAGAAGTGTTAGATCTGCTTGGGGACGTTAACATGGTGAGAAGTGGAATCCATGTTATAGGCTGATACAGGTATTTCTCAACCTGCCCGTGGTAAAGGACCTCCTCCCAATTGCATTGTGATTGTTTCATGACTAGTTATAGCTTCTGTGTGCCATGTGTTTGACATCTGAACTCTCCAAGTCCAACGGATTGTGACGGATTGTGCTGGATTGTGCTGGATTGTGCCTGTGGATGTTGAAACAAAGCCAAGCCAGGCGTAGTGGGCATGCCTATAATCCCAGCACTCAGGAGGCTGAGGGAGGAGAATCACTGCAAGTTCGGGACCAGCCTGGGCTGCAAACTGAGCTCAAGGCTAGCTTGAACTGCATAGCGAGACACTGTCTCAAAAAGACAAAAAAAAAAAAAAAAAAGAAAAAACCCCCCAAAACCCAGAAAGAGGTACCGCTTAATGAAGTATGATTGAAAAATAAAGTTAATGTTTTTTAGAAAAAGGAAACAAAGCCAAATACAAGAAGAGTTTCTTTTTTTTTGGTTTTTCTCCGGTACCAGGAACCGAACTCACGACCTTGCGCTTGCCAGGCAGGCATTTTGCCGCTGAGCTAAATCCCCAGCCCGAAGAAGAGTTTCTAAAGGCTGTTGTGGACCAGTATCAGCTGGTGTGGACCACTGGAATTCATGGACAACTGCTGTCCATTTGCACAACTGCTCCAGACAGGAGGAACCGTGCGTGCAAAGATGCTGCAGTAAAAGGCAACTTGGTGAATAGGAAGGAAATGAGAAAAGGCAGGTGTGGGTGGGACACAAAGTGAGAAATAGAAAAATCAGCAAGAACTGTACTGGCCTAGCACCTAGAAGAGTTTGAGTCTCGGTTGAAGACCTTTGCATCCTGGTGCAGAAGAGGAATTTTGTAGAATGCTTCATGGTGATAGCTTGAGAGAGTAGAAGTAGGCTGAATATTTAGCTACAAAGACTTGTTGTGTGACTTAGGCAATCTACAGTTCTCCTTTGACCTTGGGTGTCCTTTGTGCTAGAGGCCATATGGAATAGCTTGCCAAAGGGTGTGCAGGTGACTGCAGAAGCACCCACCGGTCCCTGGCAGGTGATACCAGGTGCTCAGATTCCTCATAGTACTCATGCCACTGGTGAGAAGCTGGAGGCCCTGCTTGCTGCTGCTATCGGAATGTGAAATCACCTCTCCCAGGTCTACTGAGTCCTGGCTACTCTGGTGATACTGTGAGGAGCATTCTAGGAGATGCCCTGTGGCAAGGCTTCTGTTAGTCCTCTGCCATTCTGATGTGTAGGTGGTGGGCATTGTACTAAGTCCTGAATGCTCCCGACCTTGCCTACCATGGCCTGTTAGAAGATCCATTCTGACCGAAGAATCCAGTGTGCCCTCCTTATCCAGGCTGACTTCTGTGGGGCTGTGGGAGGAACTTTTGGTCTCCAGCTCATGAATCCGGAGCAGTGATGTCAGCTTCTGGATTGTTTCATCCTTCTTTGTTGCTATATGGGATATCCTGGTAGAGAAAAATGATGTGCTTTCTCTGTGCAGGTACTTTGTGCTGGATTTTGAGGCTGGCATCCTGCAGTATTTTGTGAATGAGCAAAGCAAACACCAGAAACCTCGAGGAGCCCTGTCTTTATCTGGAGCCATAGTGTCCCTGAGTGACGAAGCTCCCCACATGCTGGTCGTGTACTCTGCTAGCGGAGAGATGTACAAACTGAGAGGTATGTTCCGTTCCTGGCCACTTACCATTTGGGCCTTGTGGGCTGCTATAGATGCAATCGTGATGGCTCTCTTGGTTTAAAAAAAATATTATTTTCTTTTAAATCACCTTTAACAGTTCACTATGTTTGAATCTTCATTCCAGTACCCTGTGGGAGAATTTGCTATGGGAGAAAAAAATAAACATTTTAAGGATGATATTTCCTTCCTCCAAGGCCTCTCTGACATGTCCAGCACATGCTCCATGGGCTTATTGTGTTATTTAGTTTTAATGTTATAATAAAATATAAAAAATACAGGAAGTTTAGTTGCTTGTATATGTTAACTATGTGATATAATTTATAATAATTCCTCTTTACTCTGTGCAGTCCAGGCAGCCCAGAAGGTTGGACGTGCATGCTTGGAACCTTCTCTTAGTACAGGGTGTTTTATTCAAGTCCTGTCCAACCCACTGTGGTCATACAGCCCATGGAGAAGCCAAGTGGTGTTACTTTCCCCTTGTATGTTTTCTCTCCTCTCTGCCTCCTGAAAGCCAGTGTCTACCCAGCGGCCTCAGAAATGACGACGACTGTCACGGGAGTCTGGCGTTATCCTTTAGGGTGTGTCCATTGCACAGTGACTGTGGCAGTGTAACTTGTTAGACCATTCAAGCAGGAATCTGTGATGCTCCACGCATCCAGATGGGTATACACACTATCCTCAGGCACACACACAAATCAGTGTTCTTTGCTAAGCCTGAGAATGTGAACCAGGTGTTAGATATCGAGAATATCGCATGATTCTGCCTTCTTATTAACACTGGCTAAGTGAGAGTGAAGGACCGCGAGACGACCCCTTGTCATCTGTCCGCTAGTGGCAGGTTGCCTCAGCAACCCCAGACTGAGGGCCTGGATTGCCCACCCCCTGCTGCAGTTTCACTCCGCTACAGCCAGGCTTTACAGCACAGGAGATGGCACAAGCTAGTTTCTTTATCTTCCGTAAACAAATTCTATTTCAGAATCTATAAAACAACCCAGAACCCTATGAAATACCACTGCCTGCAGTTGAGGGAAGTTTTTTGGTTTTTCAGGAATGTGCTGAGATTCACGTTCCTTTGAGACTTCATGCAACATGCGTTCCAGCTGGCTGGATTTATATGGTCCTCGGCTTCGCTTTGCTGTTTATTGCTTAAGAAGCTAAGAGCAGAAACAATAGCAGGGGAAAAATTTGATGGCACTTTCCCTCTGCTTATGCTTTATAAAATGATATAGACCCACACAAAAGAAAAATCTAACTAATTTGACAATTGAGCCATTTCGTTCTGTGTTTGAGTTCTTAATATTCTATGGATTATTAAACCCCAGCTTTTTAAAAAGGGTAATCTTAATAGCAAACATAAAAGTTTTATTATTTGCATGAAATAGTCACAATTGCTAAATTTAGCGAACGTAAGTAGGAAAGTGGCAGGGTAAATTTCCACATGCTTGTAAGGTGTCCTTGCCCATCCCACTGGGAGGTTTTTCGTTTCCCGCATCCCTGTGGGCCGTGGAGTTGGAGTATGGATATTTAGTTTTGGGGAATATTTCCACTGCTGAGCCTTTGGAGAGTGCTTTCTTTTTTTTACAAGTGAATTTCACCTGGTCTCACACTAGGGAGCAAGCCTCCTGACAGACAAATACTCTTACACTGTTGGAAAGGTACCCTCTCCATCCCTTAGGAAGGACCCAGCCTAAGAATCCTTGCAGGTTCATACTGAAGTTGGGTTTTATCGACAAATAACACTTAGGCTTATTTCTAAAACAAGTATAATTTCCATAGGAATAATTTTTTCCACACAGACAATATTTATGCAGTTATTAATACAGTTAAATGGATTTAGAGTTTATTAGAACCTGCTGTATACCCATATATTTTTTGTTTGTTTTTTTATTTTTGTGGTGCTAGGGTTGAACCCAGGACTTTCACACTGAGCTACATTCCCAAGCTTCACTCCCCCTCCTCCTCCCCCTCTTCTGCCTCTAGTTTTGAGACAGGGTTTTAGGAAGTTGCCTAGGCTGGACTCAGACTTGGAATCCTCCTGCTTCAAGAAGGATTTTATATATATTATTTAGAGGTAGGGCGTAGATGTAAGATGCTGGCCATGCAGTTGACTTGCATGTTAATGTCTCTGGGGGATTTGGTGCCTTTGGTAAGGCAGCACTTGGTGTCTTGTTCTATCCATATGAATCATATGAATCCTTGAGAACATATATTACCATGGAAATTCAACTCAGCCCTGAAAACTGTCTTCTGATCCTCCTAATAGCCACATCAGGTAGAGGCATTTTAAAATAATCAGATTTCTTTCCTGCTGCCTCTTTAAAGAAGCAGAAATGACTTCCAGCGGAGACTGAAAAAGAATGGTGAAATTGTTCTTATAACATCTTTCAGAATAAATTCTTCGTATGCCCCAAGAGGGAGTTTGTGGGATTCAGTGTGATTTATTGTTTTTTCTTCCCCTCCCCTTTTCCCTTTTCGCCCTTTGTACTGGAGATTAACCCAAGGGTGCTCTACCGCTAAGCTTACATCCCCAGCCCTTCAGTTAAAATTTTGAGGCAGGGTCATACCGAGTTGCCCAGGCTGGCTTTAAACTTGCAGCCCTCCTGCCTCAGCCTCTTGAGTACCTGGGATATCAGGGCTGCACCACCACTCTTGGCTGTGATTTGCTTCTTGGTTTAAGTTCAGGCCTCTTGAGAACACTGATCTGCATTTGCTTTCCCCTGACTTCTTCCTGGATCTCTTGGTGCCTGAACCCCTTGCCCTCTTTGGTGGGTGTAGAAATAAGTTTACTGTTTTTTGGAACAACCTCTACAAATGTTTCTATCTCTATTTCAGCTGCCGATGCAAAAGAGAAACAGTTTTGGGTGACTCAGCTTCGCGCTTGTGCCAAATACCACATGGAAACGAATTCGAAGGTAAGTAACCCGGGGAGAGGCAGAGGCCGCTGAGTCACCTGGTCGGCTGCTCTCAGCCCAGCCATCTGTGTCTTTGGGGAAGATGGTTTTCATTTTATTTTTAAGTTATCCACTGTAATGGAATGCATCCTTGTCCTGCTGCATTTAAATTTAAAGCCTGGTCCAGAGAAACAGGATTTTGTTACAGGTAGAACATCCAGGTACACAGGCAGTATGGGTACTGATTCTAGAAAGACACTTCTATTGCTTTCCGAAGTCAATTTAGGTTGCTGTTAACTGGCCCATTGAGAAACTCAAGTGGGTGATTTCACTGTGGAGTCAGAGTTGTCAGATTTACAGTTCTTGAGGACTAGTTCTTGTCACTGATCCTTAAATAAAACTGAGACCTCATCTGGATTCTGTCCCCTGCAAAGAGAATCTGCATTCCAAGAGTGTAAGAATGTTCTTGGGTACTTTGGCATCCAAGTGTGATTTTTCTCTTCAGGGCCTTGAGAGATCTTGTGTTACATGTGCAGGAGGATGAGGTGGGCATGTTCAGAGATTACCATGGAAAATGTCCAATTATAAAAGCACAGGACATCATTACAAAATGCATTTTCCACAGCAATGAATATTTGTTAAACTTAATGCTCAAATGCCTACCTCTATTATCTCATGAGTTCAATTTAGTATATCCAATTGTTGTGTTTTCCTGTATTACGTCTGGTAGACAGATCCAGACTTCTAATGACTCCATATTCTGTAACCTGCCTGCTTGCTAGCTCAGGCCCTGTGACATCTTCATTTACTTTGTGTTTTGTCTCCTAATACAACCTGAAATGATTTCTTCACGATGACTTTTGTTAAATGAGGTGTCCGCTTGTTCTTGACTTGGTTTTGACAGTCACGGTTGCCCACAGCGCCCCTCTTGACTTTTCCCCAGTTGAATCTTCAGTAACTGTAGGCAGAACCCTTCTTCTAAAACCTTTCCCCCTCAGACCTTTTATTTTTTTAGGAGTTGTGGTAGAGTTCTGGATATTTCATCAATATTTTATACAAACCACTGCAGGGCGGTTTGTTTTTTTTCCTTATATATCTTTTCACTTTAGTGTTTTTATAAAATAGAGGATAAAGCAAAAAGGAGCTAGCCTACTTTTTGCTAAACATGCTTATTAGAGATCATTGCCCTCATATACCAGTCTAGTGAATTCAGGGGTATGCTAGTCTGTATTGGGGCGTGTGTGATATCTGCTTGTACCTCTGTTTACATCTAGTTTTTATATCAGTGGGACCATATAGTGCATAGTTTTTTTTCACTTATATAATACTTTGGAGCTCTTACCGTGTCAGATGTGTGGCTGTACTTCACTCTTTTTAGGGTGGCTGGTTAGTGCTCTAAGGAGTGGGTGTCCACGCATTTAGTCCTCTCCTGATGGACATTTACATTTGTTTTCTTTTTGTTGTTATATGTAGTGCTGTAATAAATGTCTTCATTACATGTATTCATTTTATACCTCTAGGTTTGTATCTATAGGATGAATTTATCTCAGTGGACTTGCTGAATCATAGAATATGTGTCTTTTGGATTTTCACAGACACTGCTAAATTGTCTTAAGAAGATGCTTTAGTTTGAACTTCCAATTCTGTGTTTTCTTTTCTTTTGATGAATCACTGGGGAGGAGGGAAGTGAAGGCATCCTACTGCCAGTGAGAAAGAAGACTTTAAAGACAGAACTTGATTTCTTGATATATTCTCTGGTTAGTTTTAGGAATACTGAACCAAAATAATAGAACCAAAATAAATAATTGGGTGTTTAGGCCTGTATGCTTCCTAACTGGATAACTGGAGGTGAAGTTACTGCTACCATTCACTCACACCCTAGCCAGTGTGACTAGGGAGGGAGTAGGACGTTTCAGTATGAACAGATCTTGTTGTTCAGCAAAAGCATTGTGAAGTCCGAGGCTGCCTAGGCAGAAATTACTAGTGAAAATAAAGTGTGGCTTAAAGCAAATGGTAACTTGGCATCCAGTTAACTGTAGGGTTATTACTCGATTAGCATCATGGTCAGGACCATCTGCTGTCTTCTCTTCACTGTGTTTCTTCCTCAGCCTCTCAGCAAATTAGATCCTCCCCACTAGACGGTGGAGAATACTGCCCTACAGCTAGTAGGACTTCCATCTGTTAAAGACTTTGTACTTAAAATCAAGTTTCTTGGAACAAATATCAGGCAGGTGAGATGCTACCAGCATTCTAACTCACTTTAATAAGACCTGCAGGAAGACAGAACCACGAAACTCCAGAGTGAATGAAGCCTTTAAAGGTGACAAGTCCAGTGGTTCTGAAACCCTTACCTGCTTTAATCACTCCCTGATGAGGTTTTCCCCAGTCTAGAAGTAAAATGAGAAAAAAGAAGGAATTGTTCCCCAAGCTACCTTTATTTAATGTGTGATTAATGAAACTACTCTTTTTTCAGAAATTGAATTGGTTTGCTTTTGGAAGATTAAATGTTCTTTTTCATTAAAGAAAATGTAGAGTATTGACTAATCACTTACCTTTAAAAATGTCAGGTTTATTGAGGTGTAATTTCTTTCTTTCTTTTTTTTTTTTTTGGTACCAAGAATCGAACTCAGGACCTTGTGCTTGAAGGCAGGCACTGTACTCCTGAGCTATATCCCCAGCCCCGAGTATAATTTTCATGCAGTAAAATGTACTCTTTGAAGTGTAAAACTGAGTTTTGACAGAGGTCTAGTCATGCAACCACCACAATAATCACAGTGATACTCCCCACTAATTTCCTTCATTGCCCTGATGTGGTCAGCACCCACCCCTTTATGCTCTTAGCGACCATAACCACTAACTTGTCCCCTGGCTGTAAGTTTTGCTTTTTCTAGAATGTTCTGTATAGATGGAATCACACAGCTTTTAGTGTCAGGCTTCTTTCACTTCCAAAAATGCTTTCGAATTTCATCCATGCTATTGTGTATACCAATAGTTGACTCTTGTACATTCTTGCTATTTTAGTGGGTATGTGGCAAATTTTGTTGCTATTCTTTCCTACAAAAATCACAAGTGGATGATTGTAAATCACTTCCCAGACTTAGAGTGTGTTGGCATTTGAAATCTAAAGATCTGGCTGTGAGCCTAGCCATCTGTGGTGAGGAAACTCCAACTAGGAAGCCAGGAGCTGAGACTTGAACTAGGTAAGTGGATGCACCTTGAATCAGGATCTCCTGGTTTCTTGTTCTTGCTTTTCCCTCACAGATGGCAGTTCGGGCCACCATGTCCTTCCTCTGCAGGTGATGTGGCCCATTTTAGGAGAGTTTCTAGATAGACAGGAGCTGCCAAACAGTAGAGAACCTCCCATTTTTTGATGTCACATAGGTTTAAACTGTGACTTCTGATGCTATTTGAGGTGGCGTTGGCAGGGTGCAGGATTGGTGTCCCAGGAGGCATATAAGACTGACTTTCTCTGAAAATAATCAACAAAGCAGCATCTTGGTTTTATTTATTTATATATTTAGCAATTTTACTCTACTTTTTGTATATCTTCAGAGTTAAAAATTTAAATGTTTCCAAGGTGAAAATGTCAACCAGTATTCCAAATATTTAAATCAGGATTTTCAATTTCCATCATGCTGTCTCTGCTGATGAGTTTTCTGCTACAATTTAGATATACATAATGATCATTTCATCACAGGTAATGTGTACCTGTGTATGATATATCCTGATTGCTCTGTTTTCCCCAACCTTCCTCCCTTCAGCCCTTCTCCTCCTCCTTATTTACAAAGCTTTGCTTCCATTTTATCCTTCTTATATCACTTTTTTCTTTTCCTTTCCTTCCTTTCTCCCTTCCTCCTCCCTAGTTCCTCTTTCCTTTTAAACAATTTTTCTTCCTATTTCACAATATCTGTTGTATATTTTGGTCTTTATTTACTCTTTCAGTTTCTCACACCAGGGAGATAATGTATTTCACTTAAGAGTATGGTCTCAAGGTCCATTTATTTACCTAGAATTGTTTCAGGTTTATTCTTTGTGGCTGAGTAGTACTCTATTGTATAAAAAAACCTACATCTTTTTTATCCATTCCTCAATTGATAGACATTTGGGTTGTTTCCAAGATTTAGCTATTACAAACTGTGCTGCTATAAACATGGGTGCACATGTATTGCTGTGGTCTGATGTTTTTAATTCTTCCAGGAAGATACCCAGTAGGGAAATAGCTGGGTCAAATGGGACCTCTCATCCTCATTTTTTGAGGAATCTCCACACTGATTTCCACAGTGGTTGTACCAGTCTACACTCCCACCAACAGTAGAAAAGGGTTTCTTTTTTCCCCACAACCCCTCCAGCATTTGTTATTGATCGATTCTTTGATGATAGCCATTCTTTCTGGAGTGAGATGGAATGTCAGTGTTTTAATTTGCATCTCGCAAATGACCAATGATGTTGAACATATTTTCATGTATTTATTTGCCATTTGTATTTATTGATCTGAGAAGTGTGTATTTATCTCAGATGCCCTTTTTGGACAGGCTGTTTAAATTTGGGGAATCTTATTTTTTTCAGTTCTTTATATGTTCTAGATACTAGTCTTTTGTCTGAAGGACAACTAGCTAAAATCTTTTCCACTCTGTGGGCTGCCTTTACACTATGTTGGTGATTTCTTTTGTGGTGCAGAAGCTTTCTTAATAAGATGAGATCTCAGTTGTTGATCCTTTATGGTATGTCTTGTGCAATTGAGTTTTGTTCATGAAATCTTCGATTACACCTATGTCTTCAAAAGTGCTGCCTGTTCTTTCTTCCACCAGATTAAGTGTTTCTGTTTTACTGTTTAGCTCTTTGATCCATTTTGATTTTAGTTTAGTGAAAGATATGGGACTAGTTTTAATCTTCAGCATGTGGAAAGCCAGTTTTTCCAGCACCATTTATAAAAGAGGCTATCTTTCTTCCAGTGAACATGTTTGGCCCCTTTGTCAAAAATAAGATGGCTGAGTGTGTTTGGAGTTGTTTCTGTATCTTCT